TAAAATTTTAATTAGTCTATGATTTATTTGATAATCCCACATCGGGAGAAGAAGGAAAAAATAAATTTTTTTAATCATATAAAATGAATCTTATACTCCCATTTTAAATTTTGAAATTAAAATAACTTTTAAAAGTATTAATTAATTAATTGTTGTATTAACCGTTTTTGGTTTGACTGATTTGTTGGTTTAACCACGATTTCTTATACTGATTTTCTTAATTTTAAATAATTAAAAAAAAATTCATTGGCTAACTTCTATTTAACCATATAAAAGTAAAACCATAATTAGTTTATAATTTATTTTATAATCCCACATCGAGAGAAGAAAGAAAAAGTGAATTGTTTTACTTATATAAAGTAAATCTTATACTTACATTTAATATTGTAGTATTGTGCATAGTTTAGTTTAACACAGTTTAAATTTTAAAATAAAAACTCTAATTAATCTATGATATGATTTATTTTATAATCTCACATCGGGAAAAAAAGGAAAAAGTGAGTTGTTTCACTTATATAAAGTGAATCTTATACTCCCATATCTGTATGTTATATAAGCAAAAGGGGATTTTTAGTGAAGAGTCTTGGGAGAGTTTCAATATCTCATACTAATTTTCTTGATTTTCTTAATTTTAAATAATTAAAAAAATCTCCATTGGCTAGCTTCCATTTAACCATATAAAAATAAAATTCCAATTAGTTTATTATTTATTTGATAATCCCACATCGAGAAAATAAGAAGAAAGTAAGATGTTTTACTTATATAAAGTGAATCTTATACTTCTATTTAATATTGTAGTATTGTGCATGTTTCAATTCCATATAATTTAAATTTTCAAATAAAATTTAAAAATTTTAATTAATTAATTTTTGTGTAAATTGATTGGTCTTTTGACCTAACGGATTAAGCTGAATCATTTTTGATTTGACTGATTCATTGGTTTAACCACGATTTTAACGGTTTTATCAAAATATAATGATTTAGATTTGTTTGATGGCGGTTTTATCAAAATATAATGGTTGGATTTGTTTAATTTGAAATAAGCTAAAGATCAATCTAATTAAAGATTGAATGACTAATATTGCTTGATTATAAATAAACTTTCCGCCTAAATAATTATTAAATTTTATTTTATAATCTTACGTCGAGAAAAGATAGAAAAAGTGAATTGTTTCACTTATATAAAGTAAATTTTATACTTCTATTTAATATTGTAATGTTGTGCATGCTTCAATTTAAAACAGTTTAAATTTTAAAATTAAAATAACATTTAAAAGTTTTAATTAATTAATTTTTGTATAACTGGGTTGATCTTTTGATCTAACCGATTAGATTAAACCGTTTTCGATTTGATTGATTCACCGGTTTAACCGTGATTTCTCATACTGATTTTCTTAATTTTAAATAATTAAAAAAATCTCTATTGACTAGCTTTCATTTAACCATATAAAAATAAAAATTTAATTAGTCTATGATTTATTTTACAATCCCATGTTGGAAGAAAAAAGAAAAAGTAAATTGTTTCACTTATATAAAGTGAATCTTATATTCCTATTTAATATTATAGTGTTGTGCATAGTTTAGTTCATGGCAGTTTAAATTTTAAAATAAAAACTCTAATTAGTTTATGATTTATTTTATAATCTCACGTCGGGAGAAAAAGAAAAAAAATGAGTTGTTTTAATCATATAAAGTAAATCTTATGATCCCATTTAATATTGTAGTGTTGTGCATGTTTCGATTCAAGACAATTTAAATTTTAAAATTAAAATAACATTTAAAAGTTTTAATTAATTAATTTTTGTATAAATTAATTGGTCATTTGACCTAACCGATTAGGCTTAACCGTTTTCGGTTTAACTGAATTGTCGATTTAATCACAATTTCTTATATTGATTTTTTTAATTTTAAACAATTAAAAAAAAATTCCATTATTAACTTCTATTTAATCATATAAAATTAAAACTATAATTAGTTTATGATTTATTTTATAATCCCACATCGGGAGAAGAAATAAAAAATCAAACAATGGGATGAATGGTGGAGGCAAGTTGAGAATAGAGAAGAGAGGTTGCGGGTAGGGGCAAAGGTAAATGAAGTTAAAAGTAATAGTGATTGCGTAGTAAATATGCTTTAAATAAGAGTCGATGTGGTCAACAAAGATGAGATGAAAATTAGAGAGATGATGATTGGTGAAGGGTGGAGACTTGACAAGTGTTATTAGAGTATATCATGTTACTCTTAAAAAGGGTAGTTAACAAATTTATAAATTAATGTATAAGATAGTCGTATATACAATCATTTGATAAAGAAAGCCATATACAATTTTTTTTTCATAATAATTCATTTTAAATCACAAAATCCCATGCATAGCACAGATAATATGCTAGTTTTTCTTTAAAAAAAAAGAAAAAAAATAGAAAAATAAGATTTATTGGTAATTTTTTTTGAAAAAAAATAGAAAAATAGGACTTGTTGGTAATTTTCTTAATTGTACTGAATTATGGATGGATTTACCGTTTAGAAAAATAAGACTATTGGCATTTTTTTTTATTATAAAAAAATGGAAAAAAAATGGTGGACACCACATATTTTTATCCAAGAACACTAAATACATTTTTTATTTTATTTTAAAAATCTTACTAAAAACATAAGAGGCTAAATTTAATTAGTTGTCAAAAAAAATAAGAATACTTGTACATTCAACCATATTTGGACATCTATACTAAATCTAGTATTGCCCATAAAATTTTTGAAGAAAATCAATCAACTAATAAAGAATATTTTGTACAAAAGCATGAAAACATGAACTTGTCTCCTTTTGTCAATTTTTCTTTTGGTGTTTGGATGCCTGATATGTGGGCAAAATATAATAATAATAAAATTAATTAACTCATATTTAATTAAGGGTAAATTATTTATAAGTCCTATTTGAAAGACTTATACAAAATATGATCTTATGAAAAACTTATAACCCAATAGGTCTTGTGATTTTCTTATGGACACATTTACCTCCAATCTTAATTAATTAATAACTTGATTAATGATAATACCATATATGAGAAATTCAATATTACCATACATTGTGATCATATCTACATGGTTAAAAATTTAAAATTCAAAACAACCTAATTAATGGAAGTGCCATATATGGGAAATCCAATGTTACCATAAATTGTAATAATATCTATATGGTTAGAAATTTGAAATTTAAAATAACCTAATTAATGGCAATACTATATATGGACTAATTAATGGCAATACTATATATAGAAAATTCAATATTACCATAGATTGCGATCATATTTATATGGTTGAATATATGAGAAATTCAATGTTACCATAGATTGTAATCAAATCTATATGGATAGAAATTTGAAATTCAAAATAACCTAATTAATGGCAATACTATATATGGACTAATTAATGGCAATACTATCTATGGGAAATCTAATGTTATCATGTATTGTAATCATATCTATATGGTTGAAAATTTGAAATTCAAAATGTAAATGTAACACGTAACATCTCAAACCCAATGTGACATTCCCAAATCTAACGTAACATTCTCATATGCTTCTAAAATTCAAAATAACTTAATTAATGGATATATCATATATGAAAAATCTAATGTTACTATAGATTGTAATCATATCTGTATAGTTGGAAATTTGAAATTCAAAACGTAAATATAACATGCAACATCCCAAATTCAATATGACATTTCGAAATCCAACGTGACATTAGAAACAAATTAGGGGTATAATAGTACACAAATATTATTCATTTATAACTCATAGGACCTTAGGAAATACATTCCTATTTAAATATGACTTCAAACTCTAAAAGAAGATTCATAGAACTTCACATTAAATAAGTCTTCCAAATAGTACTTACAAATAATTTTTCCATTCATTTTCTATGTTATAAATGGACAAGGGGTACCTGCTGTGCTTAAAGCACAGCAGGGTGTGCCGTGCATGCAAAAACGACACAGTTTTTTTTTTTTTTTTGGGGAAACAAAACAAAATAAAACCATACAAATCTTCATAGGCATTTATTGTAGTAAGGAGAAATATCTACTAGCATATTTTTTATTTTATTTTTGAAATTTCACATGAGTTGAAATTTATTATTTATTGAGTATTATATTTTTAATGTTTTTAAAAATCAAATTAGACTAATTATATTTTATTTGACATTGATATTTATTAGAGTATATTGGTTGATTTTTTGACAAATCAATAAATAATATGTAATAATATACATCGTTGCAAGTAAATTTAACAGTAATTTTTTAAGGATGTCGGATTCCCTCCTCCTCTTGTATCTCTGGTGTTTTATCTCTAGCTTCAGGGGATGCAGCGTCTCAGTGAAGAGATGCAGACTTTGTTGAATTTGGGCGTGACAAGATTAGCAGCAGTGTATGCAGTGGATCACCTCACATGGGTTGAGGGGGTGATTTGTTGAATTCACCCATGTGTGAAAGGGGGTGATCATCCAAGTCAAGTTTGGTTGGCAACAATGGGAAGGCAACCAACCAAAGTCCACCTTGGCGGCCACCAACCATCTTGAAGAGTCAAGGATGGAGGCTGCCCAAAGGCTCTCCCACCTACTCCCTCACCTATAAATGGAGGTTGAGAGGAGAGAGCAAAATGTGAGCAAACCGTGAGACAACAAAGAGAGTGAGAGATGTGAGGCGGAGAGACCGTCTCTCTCGGTGTGAGCGAGGGAGACGGGTGAGTGGCTGAGTGAGGAGAGTGTGAGCTCCTCCTCTATTGTAATCTTTCTGTAATCTCCTCATTGGTATAGTGATAACCGGTTACTCTCCCGTGGACGTAGGCATTGGGCCGAACCACGTAAAATATTGTGTCTCCTTGTGTGTGGGTGTGTTTTTCTGCTTGTTTTGATTTCTATAAGGTCTTGGGCGGGATCCCCGATCCCAACACCCCTTTCCCGTTATAAAGAGAGATGAGCCTTTCCGTCATCTCACACAAACCAGTGCATAGAGAAGAGTTCTCTAAACAAACCAAAAGCTTTAAAGTCTCACTTATCAAATATTATTGCCTCAGTTTATTTTTAGTGAAGAAGGAAAGATGTCAAACACAGCTGATCAAGTCATTCGTTGCAAAGGTTAGTATAATAAAATCCCATTTAGAACTATGTTTAGTTTATTTGCTGCTCTGTTTCAATTTGTTTTAATTTTGCAGTTTGGAACTTTACATTCTTTGGAATCAATTTTTTTCGAAAACAGTTTTCAGAAACAGTCGTCATTCCCAAGGTGGGATATATATCAGAATGATTGGTTAATCAAGTCTTTCTTCATTTTTTGGTGGCAGCTGCTGTGGCATGGGAGGCAGGGAAGCCACTGGTGATAGAAGAAGTGGAGGTGGCGCCACCTCAGAAGATGGAGGTTCGTGTGAAGATCCTCTATACCTCTCTCTGCCACACTGATGTTTACTTCTGGGAAGCCAAGGTAACTCATTTTTCACTTTACATAGTATAGTATAGAATTCCTAAGGTTTCCTCATTAGTTTCAATTAATTCAAGCCACCATGGTGACACCCAAATTGGTTCTTTCTTTTCAATCTTGCAGGGTCAAAACCCCGTGTTTCCTCGAATCCTCGGCCACGAGGCAGGAGGGTAAGTTGTCTGTTGTTAATTTTTAATGTCTAAAATGAAATGGGTTTTGTAATTATGGATTGAAAATAATAATTTTGTTAATTTCGGTGGATTTGTAGGATTGTGGAGAGTGTTGGAGAGGGAGTGACTGATCTTGCACCAGGCGATCATGTCCTTCCAGTCTTTACAGGGGAATGCAAAGAATGTGCTCACTGTAAATCTGAAGAGAGCAACATGTGTGATCTCCTGAGGATCAACCCAGACAGGGGAGTGATGATCCATGATCAAAAATCGAGATTCTCAATCAATGGCAAACCAATTTTCCATTTTGTTGGAACATCCACCTTCAGCGAGTACACGGTTGTCCACGTTGGTTGTCTTGCCAAGATTGACCCCCTCGCTCCTCTCGACAAAGTTTGTGTTCTAAGTTGTGGAATCTCCACAGGTACCCAAAAAAAAAAAAAAAATGATAATTTTAGTAGCCCTTTTGAGTTTTGGCCAATACCATCAATTTGCTTTATAATAAGATATCAACAAACTTCTATGAAACCATTTCATGGGATTCAGTGTGGTTTAGAAAGCACCATGATCATGCAATAGAAAGTTTTCAAAAATTTCAAATGAATGATTTGAAGGCTTATTGATTCTAATAACTAATTGCAGAGTTGATCATTGTCGGACCTTTCAATTCATATTGTTCTAATAAACAAATTTGTGGGATTTTATTTTGGGTAGGATTTGGTGCCACTGTGAATGTTGCCAAGCCAACAAAGGGCTCAACTGTGGCTGTCTTTGGATTGGGAGCTGTAGGCCTAGCTGTGAGTTTTTTGTTCTCTGATTGCCTTATAAATATGATTATTAAGTGTGTCTGTTAGCCAAATGTATCTGATCAATATTATATTTGATGGTAATTTTGTGTGATTAGGCTGCAGAAGGGGCCAAAGTGTCTGGTGCTTCAAGGGTTATCGGTGTGGATTTGAATTCTAACAGATATGAACAAGGTATAAAGGGACTAGCAAGCATTATATTTGTGGTGTTTGATACAAATTTACTTCCATAAAACTGACTAGAGTATTTGTGTTGCTGCATCATTTCTTACTTGCATTTATAATCTATCCTAGTCGAATGCATCTTTGTTCCATTAAATTCTTTAAATCCATACATCAATATGCGATTCTTCCACAACTTTCCTACATTGGTTGAGTTTCTATTCTCTGCTTTCTTTGTTTGACAAATTGTTTTTCAAAACTGTTTTTTTTTTTTTTCAGATGTTATACTAAACTAGCAAAACTTGTAAATTTTTCTTATTAACTATTGTGACATGTAATAACGGAATTATAGAATTTGAGAAAAGATCCACTTCACTTCAATAATGTGATAAGTGTCACATCAGTCTATGAAAACTAATTAGTATTTTCAAACTTTTCAGTGCTTTATTTGGAAAATACAAAATGAAAACACAACCAAATAAGCGAACATTAGGCTTTTGCTGATTTTGATTGGCCAGTTGCATCTAAATTCTTGGTGGAAGCTTGCAACATAGGCTACATTTAACCTCCATTTTGTCATCATTGAACATTTCTTGAATAATAATAGTGAATATGAAGAAATGCATCTTACAATACAAGAGTAAATACACAATCATTATGATTCACATTGCAGTTAACACATGGTGGGCTTTAATTTCTAATATTGAACATTTCTCTTTGTCTCTTGGGTAAACAGCAAAGAAGTTTGGTGTAACAGAGTTTGTGAACCCCAAAGACTACAACAAACCAGTTCAAGAGGCACAGTTCTACACTTCTTTGCACTTGTAAATTCTTCTCTTTCATCTTCAAGTATTTGCTCAAGTTTCTTCTTGACTTGCTCTTCAGGTGATTGCTGAGATGACCAATGGAGGAGTGGACAGAAGCGTCGAATGTACTGGAAGCACTGAAGCCGTGATCTCGGCATTTGAATGTGTCCATGATGTATGTTTCCCCTACTTTCCACCACTTTGATTATCACTTTTTTCCTGTTTCTCATTGACAACGAAGTAGAGCTCTAGAGTACAACCAATAAATGTATATATGTCATTTTGAATGCTGATAGACTACAACCTCTTGAATAATAATAGTGAATATGAAGAAATGCATCTTACAATACAAGAGTAAATACACAATCATTATGATTCACATTGCAGTTAACACATGGTGGGCTTTAATTTCTAATATTGAACATTTCTCTTTGTCTCTTGGGTAAACAGCAAAGAAGTTTGGTGTAACAGAGTTTGTGAACCCCAAAGACTACAACAAACCAGTTCAAGAGGTACAGTTCTACACTTCTTTGCCCTTGTAAAATCTCCTCTTTCATCTTCAAGTATTTGATCAAGTTTCTTCTTGACTTGCTCTTCAGGTGATTGCTGAGATGACCAATGGAGGAGTGGACAGAAGCGTCGAATGTACTGGAAGCACTGAAGCCATGATCTCGGCATTTGAATGTGTCCATGATGTGTGTTTTGTTGGGATATACCTCCTTATTGGAGTGTGGGACTCAATTGGTGTATTAAAAGAGGTTTAATTTGGCTTGGTTTAGTATAATATATTTTTATATATTATATTTGAAGAAACCCAATTCAATTTGGATACAATTAGGATTTGTTTACAAAACCTAAGATTTAATAACATATATATAGATATATATATATATATTGTTTCGTACTTCATAAAAAAAGACGACAACCACTACAAAATTTTCACCTTTTTCGAAGCACGGTACGGCTGCCATTCTTGATATTTTGCCAAAAAGGTAGCATCCAGCAGCATCATGATCATGGTTCTAAGCATGGTTCTGTGGTTGTGATTCGGTGGGGACGTGGTTTCGGCAGTTTTTGGTGAAGTTGATTTGGATCATTATTTTGGGTCTTCTTCAACTTTGGTTCTGAAGATTTTGGTTCATCTATTTGGTGAGGTCTTTCCTCTTGTTTATTTGTGATTATTTGGAATTCACCTAAGGGTGGTTTTGTGAGACTATTAGTGTCTCGTTTGTAATCGTTTGAAACTTATTTGGTTGATAGTAGAATCGGATTTCGATCCTGTGGACGTACCTCACATTGAGGGAACCACGTAAAAATTCTTGTGTTGCCTTTGATTTAATTTTTCCGCATTAGTTTTTATTCCCATTGATTGATTTACTTGTGGGGAATCACATCGATTTTCCCTAACATGTTTCCCCTACTTTCCACCACTTTCATTATCACTTTTTTCCTGTTTCTCATTGACAACGAAGTGGAGCTCTAGAGTACAACCTATAAATGTATATATGTCATTTTGAATGCTGATAGACTACAACCTTGCCATTGTAGGGCTGGGGTGTTGCTGTTCTTGTGGGAGTCCCTCACAAAGATGCTGTGTTCAGGACACACCCTGTGAATTTCCTAAATGAGAGGACCCTTAAGGGCACCATGTTCGGAAATTACAAACCCCGGTCTGACATTCCCTCTGTTGTTGAAAAATACATGAACAAAGTGAGTTTCTGAATCCCACTTTGCAAATCTCTATGCTAGTGCATATGAAAGCTCAAAATGTGTTTCTCTTATTCACCTAAATTGTTGACTTTGCAGAAACTTGAACTGGAAAAGTTCATCACTCATCAAGTCCCATTCTCGGAGATCAACAAGGCCTTCGATTACCTGCTAAAAGAAGAAAGCATTCGATGCATCATCAAAATGGAGGAATAGAAAGACACAAAATCCTATGCTTCAATCGTTTGTGAAATGTTAATAAAAGTTGTTGCCCGGGTGTTTTTTTGTGCTTATATATATGTAACAATCAAATTTTCCACATTGATTTTTCATTTAAAAAAAGAAAAGAAAACACATTCACCAGAAATCCGTTCTTGTTCCTTGCTCTAATGTGTGGTATCTCTGTTGTAAGTAGTTGATGTGTAATTCATTCGGTTTTATAGCATTACTTACTGGTATTTTATTACCCATTGACTTCATTAATGGAAATTTTGTGGTTTTGTTCATACGCTTTTCAAGATTTAAAATGGAACGGGGGTTTTTTTTTTTGGGACAAAACTCAAACCCAGTTTTGACAAATAAATAAAAAATAAATGTTAATTAAAAATGATCACAAAGAAATTAAAAATGGATTAAAGAAAGATTCAAAAAATGAGCCAAACAAATCCTTATACCCACGTGCTGAGCATTGTTGCAACACATTCACATCCTTCAGGTCATCAAATTAGCCTACTCGGGTCATAGGATGAGGTCCCTCCATTCCTTCATCTCCCTCTATCCATCTATATTCCTCATGTGGGTCTTAATTTAGAGTCACATTTTATTTTGTAAGCCTTATAATGAAGGTCATCCATATAAAAAATTAATTTCATCGGATATCTATAAACATAGAAACAAAGTACATTTTGTGTTGTGAAAGAAGGGCAAATATGATTGTAAACTTAAACAATTTATTTTATAAAATAAAATAAGATTTGTTCTGGTGTTCATAGTTGTTCAATAAAGTTGATTTTTTTGCATAGATAACTTTTGCTGTGAGATCTACGAAATAGACAGTTTGAATCATTTGTATTTGTTTAGATTAGAGCCAATAATAAAGCTATGGACAAGTATGGAGAGAAAATATGGAGGTGAGTTTATATCCATGCCATAAATACATTTTTACACAAATTAATGACTAAACTGTGTTTATAGTACTACTAGTAGTGGCATGAGGAATTGGGGCTATTGTGAGGCTTATTGAGGGCTTGTCTTGAGTCTCTTTCGATAATTCGAACCGTTCATATTGTAAAATTCGTTGAGCAGATCATCCATGCAAAAAATCAAGTAAATTGGATATCTTTAGCCCCATAATAAGAGCATCTTTGTTGTTGTTGTTGTTGATGTTGTTGTTGTTGTTTTTTTTTTTTTTTAAATAAAAATAAATGGTGAACATGATTTTAATAATTTTTTAAAAATAATTAGGACCTGATTATGGAGTTACGAATGTCCCATTAACTTTCTATTTTACATGGATGATATACTCGACAAATCTTATAATATGAACGGTTCGAATAATTAAAATAGCCCTGGAAAAAATCCCTAGGTCTTCACAATAGGTAGGGCTGAGCAAGGAATCTGTAAAATTCGTAATATGATCCGGTCCAGTCTAATCCGATAGGTTTGGATTGGTTTTTTGAATCTGTGATTTGGTTCCGGATTGAAAATTTCAAAATCCGTAGGTCACGAATCGATTCCGGATTGAACCCCACGATTCCGAATTGGAACTGATCCGGACTGTCTAGAAATAATCTATATTTATACCATATGCCCTCCCACACAATATAATTTCTTGTTTCATATAAAAGCTAAAGTGTAACCTAATTCATGTCTCACTCACTCATTGTCTTTCACTCTTATCTCTTTGTCGGTGCACTCTCTCTCTCTCTCTTCTCTTTCTCATCTCAGACTGAGTTCTCTCTCACACTCTCATCCATCTCAGATCAGATCGGTGAGCTGGTTGTCTCTCTCTCTCTCTCTCTCTCTCTCTCTCTCGGTGACACTAGTTTTGTTCCTTTGTTCTTAGACGTAGTCATCTGAGATCATCCATCTCAAATCAGATCGGTAGCTATAACTATTGTCTCTCTCTCAGTGAGCTCCTTCTCTCTCTCTCTCTCTCTCTCTCTCTCTCTCTCTCTCCAGCACTCTAAAATGGGGTTAATCTCAGAGAGAAAACATACACAATACATTATTGTGATTTTATCTCAGAACGGTGAATTTAATCTCAAATCGATTGTTCATGTCATCTACAATGGATTCTCGCCAAAAGTGATCTAAATTTTTTTTAATAAATAATTTATTTTTTACATAAATTATATTGAATATATATAATTACATTTATATATATAGTTTTGTATTAATACTGGTGAAAGTAATATATAAATAATATAAGTTGCAACTATAGTCATGAGATGGTTCAGTGGCATAGTGGGGTCGAGTGTGTGGTTAAGGTTTGGAACCACTTGGAGGTCTCAGGTTCGAAGTGTGGGAGGTCTGAGGCACAAAGGGAAATTTTTTTTTTTTTCAAAAATGTTTTTGGCGACTAAACATTGTGGTCACCAAAAGATTGAGCATTGCCGACGAAAAAAATAGTCGCCAAATGTATAAATAATAAAAAAATTAATTCACTATATTAGTCGCCAAAGGTATAATTTCCAAAAATGGAATTGACTATTGACGACTAAAATCTTAGTCGCTGAAGACCTGTGTATTGCCGACTAAAAGTTTTTAGTCGCCAAAGGTATTGCCGACCGTCTCTTCGCGACAAACCCAGCGACTAAAAGATTTTGTCGGGGAAAGTGGAAATTTGACATTTGGCGACTAAAAAGGGACTTTTGGCGATTAAAAATTTAGTCGCCAAAGGTGTATTTTCTTGTAGTGACCTGATTATGGAGTTACGAATGTCTGATTAACTTTCTATTTTACATGGATGATATACTCGACAAATCTTATAATATGAACGGTTCGAATAATTAAAATAGCCTTGGAAAAAATCCCTAGGTCTTCACAATAGGTAGGGCTGAGCAAGGAATCTATGAAATTCGTAATCTGATCCGGTCCAGTCTAATCCGATAGGTTTGGTTTGGCTTTTTGAATCTGTGGTTTGGTTCCGGATTGAAAATTTCAAAATCCTTAGGTCACGAATCGATTCCGGATTGAACCTCACGGTTCTGGATTGGAACTGATCCAGATCGTCTAGAAATAATCTATATTTATACCATATGCCCTCCCACACAATATAATTTCTTGTTTCATATAAAAGCTAAAGTGTAACATAATTCACATCTCACTCACTCATTGTCTTTCGCTCTCATCTCTCTGTCGGTGCACTCTCTCACTCTCTCTCTTCTCTTTCTCATCTCAGACTGAGTTCACTCTCACACTCTCATCCATCTCAGATCAGATCGGTGAGCTGCTTGTCTCTCTCTCTCTCTCTCTCTCTCTCTCTCTCTCTCTCTCTCTCTCAGTGACACTAATTTTGTTCCTTTGTTCTCAGACACAGTCATCTGAGATCATCCATCTTAAATCAGATCGGTAGCTATAACTATTGTCTCTCTCTCGGTGAGCTCCTTCTCTCTCTCTCTCTCTCTCTAAGACTCTAAAATGGGGTTATTCTCAAAGAAAAAACATACACAATACATTACTGTGATTTTATCTCAGATCAGTGGATTTAATCTCAAATCGATTGTTTATGTCATCTACAATGGATTCGGTAAATGTAAGTAAGATGTTTTATTTTTATTTTTTTTTTGTTTTTATTTTTATTTGTTAAGAGGCATCTTGAAAATTGTAAAGAGTTTTGTTGTTCTATTGGTGAATTGTATGCAATGGATGAGTCTGTGAGGAGTCGAAATGTAATTATTTCTATTGGTTTGTTGACTTGTGCTTGATAATTACTATGGTAACATAAAATCATTACTTATACACCAGGATGATATTATTTGGTGTGATATCATTTTTTATACACAAATTTTGCAGCTTTGAAGTGTCCTTCTCCATTCTATTTTACTGCTTAAGCATAGCTATAATAGGGCTTTTGTAATGCCCTTGATGTATGTTTGCAGTTTTTCAAGTGAATTAAGACTTCAGAGGGTCTAACTTATTATATACCTTTCCATCCCTCCCCCCTTACTTTATGCATTTTCCTTTTCTCTCTCTCTCTCTTTCTCTCTCTCTCTCTCTCTCTCTCTCTCTCTCTCTGTTCAAATGTTCGGGTGTACATTATCATTAATTAAAAAATGTAAGTAAAAAATTAATCCACAGTGTATGTTTTTTCTTTGATTTCTGTATGTAAGTAATCCACAATTTTCTGCTGAATTTGTTTGTTGTTGTCTACTATTGCTACTGCGTGTTTGCTTGGAATTTTACACCGGATGTTGTTTGCTTGGAATTTGTTTGTTGTTGTCTACTACTGCTGTTGCTGATCATTTCATACAGGATGTTGTTTGCTTTAAATGTTCTAAATTTTTTATTTATTTAATTATGTGAATCCGTGGTCCTAAACTAATTTAATCCGTGTTTAAACGGATTGGTTCCACGATTTAAACGGATTAAATTGGTTCTAATTTTTTAGGAACCATAGATAACGGATTGGTCTTGGTTTTCTCCTAATCCGGACCAATCCGGATCATGCTCACCCCTAACAATAGGGTTGATGTGCCTTGTGGTATAACAACAACCTTCAGCCTGTGGCCTGATATAATTTTTGACAGAATTATAATTTAGTAGAACCGGTAAAAAAAAAAATTATACAAAGAGTAGTGTAATATATTTTTGAGTTACACATTACTTTTTTTGAGTTACACTCTCATACTTTGTTTTTTTCATTTTTATTTTTATGCTATACCATAAATTGTAATTCCTTTAAAAAAATTTATATGGAAAACTTCACTTGTTAAAGTTAGAGTTCATTTGGCAATAACATTTTTAGCTAACTTTTTGGCTTTTTTTGACATTTTTAGCCTAACACTTTTTTGTTTGTTTGGTTTTCTTGTTTGACTTTTTTGACTTTTTGGCTTTGGAATGACAAACTTTTTTGTTGGCTTTTTGGCTTTTTTGTTTTTTTGACTTTTTTTTTTGTCCATACATGATTATTTAGCCCAAAATGTTTACCAAACCGAGGCTTAATGTATTGAATAATTACTCTATCTAAAAAGAATATACACATATATATGTTGAATAATTACTAAAAATGGTTTTTTTTTTTTAGGTGAAAGTCAAGTGGATCACTATTTTATTGGAGGCAGATCGCCGTTTGGACCTGTGGGATTTACCACGTGTTCTATTTCGATGATTT